TCACAACACACTGTGGAAACAGTTAACCTAGTGTGGGAAAGGCAGTATTACTGGTTTGTCACAACACACTGTGGAAACAGTTAACCTAGTGTGGGAAAGGCAGTATTACTGGTTTGTCACAACACACTGTGGAAACAGTTAACCTAGTGTTGGGAAGGCAGTATTACTGGTATGTCACAACACACCGTGGATACAGTTCACCTAGTGTGGGGAAGGCAGTATTACTAGTATGTCACAACACACTGTGGAAACAGTTTACCTAGTGTGAGGAAGTCAGTATTACTGGTATGTCACAACACACTGTGGAAACAGTTTACCTAGTGTGGGGAACGCAGTATTACTGGTATGTCACAACACACTGTGGATACAGTTTACCTGGTGTGGGGAAGGCAGTATTACTGGTATGTCACACCACACTGTGGAAACAGTTTACCTAGTGTGGGGAACGCAGTATTACTGGTATGTCACAACACACTGTGGAAACAGTTTACCTAGTGTGGGGAACGCAGTATTACTGGTATGTCACAACACACTGTGGATACAGTTTACCTGGTGTGGGGAAGGCAGTATTACTGGTATGTCACACCACACTGTGGAAACAGTTTACCTAGTGTGGGGAACGCAGTATTACTGGTATGTCACAACACACTGTGGATACAGTTTACCTGGTGTGGGGAAGGCAGTATTACTGGTATGTCACAACGCACTGTGGAAACAGTTTACCTAGTGTGGGGAAGGCAGGATTACTGGTATGTCACAACACACCGTGGATACAGTTTACCTAGTGTGGGGAAGGCAGTATCTAGTGTGGGGAAGGCAGTATTACTGGTATGTCACAACACACTGTGGAAAAAACAGTTACTTATTGCCCGCATATGACAATAATTCAAATGTGTGCAAATACAAGTGATATGCTGGTTACCAGTCTAGTCAAAGTAATATTTTCCGAAATTTTAAATAAATAAAAAAGTTTTGTTGCCTTCAGAACAAAACGGCCAGTGTGTGCTGTCAATGCTAAGATTACATCATAACTAATCAGCATGTTATGGTTTATTTTTTCTAAAATAAACACTATTTAACCTCTCCATGTACATCTAAGTACTAAATTACTAGTCATTTACTGATTGATATGAGAATTGATTAGATAAGCTGAAACGCTGTCAGCCTGGAGTTGCCTCAGCATCTTTTCACTATATGCCTGACTTCAGCATGGGATTGCATCAGCAGTGTGGTGTTCAGTACATGAACAGTGTATAAATAGATACAAGGAAGTTTTACATCCCAGTTGATTGGGGTCAGGATGGGGAATCAGTGGAGGAGGAGGGTATATTGGTCAAATAACTGTTCAGGAAAGGAAAATGTGTCTGTTTAGGCTAAACAAATAAAATGTACAATGATTAAACTTTGCAGAATAGTGATTTATTTTTCAAGTAATTTATGTTTAATTTATATTCTTTTATCCAAAACATTTGTGGTGTGCATCTTTTTGCCCCCACCTCCATCCCATCCCAATATAAAAAAAAAAAAAAACCTGAGTAGTATGTTATTGTACAAAAGTTGATCTAGAAACAAAATCATGAATTTCTTAATTCAAACATTAAAAACTGCATAAACATAATGTTATTTAATTTTTGGAAAATTGTGTTAGAAACAACACGTAAGTAGTAATAGTTGGTATACCACGTAATAATCTTAATTGTTTGCTATGTAATAATGGTATTGGGGATGAATACCACTATCTTTTTCAATGTAATAATGCTACGATAACAAATTATAGACATAAATCCAAGTTTAGCTAAAAATGAGAGGTATGTTTGAAATTTGTAATCGACCCTTATTATCCAGAGTGAGCTACTTTCTTAAAAATGTAGAAAACCTATGTATTTCACGCTGATTATTATCATACAAAAGCAGTTTACTCTAAAATTGCATAAATTTGTTATTTATTACCTTTATACACTTATAATTTGCATGTAATCATTATTATTCTTGAGTGAGTTACTTTAATGCGTATCTAACATAATTATTTATATGTTACAATGAACTTAGTAACTGTATTACCCTGTCTGCCGTGTATGTTGTTTTGAATTTTTGACCTCTTGTTACACACACAAGTGTGTCAAGAGTGTAATAAAGAAACTGAATCTGAAACTGCAGAAACACTGTGAGTAAGCCTGCACTGTAATGATTTAATTATGCAAAAATAAATTGATTTAATTCAATAATTGAGAGAAGCACTTCACCATATAAAAATCTTTACTTCATTCAACCGTAAATAGATATATAGTTAAGGCCTTCGTCAAAAGGTTGATTACCTTTGTGAATTTCAACCAGATCAGTACAGGCCTAAATTTGTGGTGAACAAATTATTGTTCATTTTTAGGATATTTTTTGTATTTCTGACACCGAAAAGTTTCATCCAATCAGATTCTCTGACATAAGATCCACACCAACAAATGAGATAAACTGAAAAGCATAAAAATTGATAAAGATGTTAATTTTATAATTATAACTCTGTGTAATAATGTACATCTAAATTTAACCCACAAGAACCAACAGAAATATGTACATTATTCACCTTTTAGTTCTACCTGTTCAAGCTAATATTAAAATATTCTAGTTTTTAAATATTAATTTATTAATAGTGCATGCATATTGTGTTAATTCTTTTGCAAAATCCTTCAGAATCTGAATATCTTTGCAGTAAGAAAATGTCAAAGACGTATCTATGTTGACATCCTTTTTAACAAACTAACAATATAATGTTACAATGAAAAAAATGCACAGCCAGAATGCCGGGTTCGAGCCAGGCCATCATGACCCTCTGTAGCACGAAGAAAGTTGGCAACTGTAATACTCACTCATGGTCACAGGCATAAATTGTTTCTGGCAATACAAATAGTCATGAGAAAAGAAAGAAAAAAACTAGACTACTCTTGGTATATTTTAAGAGTAGGATGGGTGTTTTTTTCTCGTGACTATTTTTTTATTGACAGAAACAAATGCCTGTGCTCACGGTGTACAATTAAAATCTGTCACACTAATTAATATAAATACATAAAAATGCCATAGTCTCAGCTATGCAAATAAATTAATCGAATTTCAGCAAAACAATAAGCAAAATCTGTAGTGAATTCTACTCAAATTATAAATATCAAAATATTCTTATTATAGAAACTTTTTTTGAAGTCAATGTTTGAATTTTGATATTATGGTAACTGTGGTGTTTATAGTACAATTTAAAGTCATAATTCAAGTTTTAATTATTACACGTGTTCACAATATTATACTAGTCTGAAATAAGTAATGAACCTTGCCATATCTATTATCACTCACATTGTTGTTCATGACCGATTTTTCATGTGAAGGTCATTTTGGAACACACCTCCGTTCTCGACCAATGAAGTCTCACTATTGGACCAACCCACATTTTAACCAATCAACGTCGACCTAACTTACATCAGCTGTTTGTGGCCAAACACACGTTGGCAATAAGCTAAGTTATCGTTTTAAATAATCGAGATATCATGTAAATTAATCTGAAATTATAATCAACATTAACGTAATATTATATTGCGCCCTTAGCAAATAGATGACAAACGTTTAAATAATGAAATAAAAGCAAATCTGTTCGTACTGTGTTTAATTTTGAAACGGCCCCGGTTTCATGTACTTAAAAATAGAAATGTACTGTCGGTGCCTGGTGATAGCTATGGAAAATATACTGGTCATTCTTCATTTTAATTCGTTTAATTGATCATTTTCCATCAAATATGTTTCGTTTTTCTCAGATTTTTAAGTTCTGTTGGAAATAGTTTGCCGTCATGTTGTAAGAAAGAAGTTTTAATTGAAGAAACCGTTGCTTCGTCTACCATGGAAAAATCCCATGTGCTGTGTCAATCAATCGGGCATGTGACTGGTCGGGAACGATGATTGGTTGTTGGGTGAAGCTCCTCCCGATGACTTCATCTTGCATACATTAGCATATATTGACTTAGATTACTAGTCCGCTAACCTCAGCAGATCAGAGTGAACGTTTAGAGTTATAACGGAGAGGTTGTGTTTGTGCATTGAAGGAAATATTTATTATGTAAAGCAGTGTTTGGTGATGTTGGATTTTACAAACTCGTTGGAGCTTAAATCTGTGGATTTGGACAAGATTAACGGAAATAATAATACGGCTTCTGTTATCTTGGGTTGTCAAATGTGCGATACTGCACCTTTAAAGGATGGACAAACAGTTCTACCGAAAAAGGTATTTGTTCATTTTCTCGCGAAACTGTTCCATTTTCAATTTGTTTTTAATTAATTGCATTGTCACAATAAAATTTCTTTGTACTATATTGCTGGGTATTGGACTCGAAGCATTAATTTTACCGCATCGAAGCATTTGCTATGATGTTTCATTATTTGGGCCGATCGAGATTTTGCAAGATTTATGTGTGATGTCTAAAGTTAAGCTCTTATGTTGTCTTCACTTATTTTTGTCGACTCGCACCCAGTCACAATTGTTATGGAAATTGTTATTGGTATTTGTACTTGTATGTTGGTCTCGCCCAAAATAATGCGAGTAATGCCAATGGATGCAGAAAGTCCAGCTGAAACTGCATTTCGGTTTTGAAATGGTCCCTTCGGTAGGAAATAATATCCGCTAGGTGTCGCTTCAATTGTGTCAGAGGTCATCAGCTGGAAAATCAGCTGTTTCTGTGTGAACAAAGAAGCGTCGATCTTGACAGGACTTGATGTTTGACAGTTGAAACACAAAGATGATTTTAAAAGGATGTGTACACATTTCTAAATTGCAACAATCTGTAAGTTGTTTATACTCCATCTACTTATCATTATTGTTATTTCGTGTTTCCATGTTACAAATTACTTAATTAGTAATCATTGAATGTTTCCCCGAGTATTTCTGACCGTCCCGAGCTCCGGAGAAGTTTCCATCTTCTTTCATGTCTCCTTTACGCAAATGCATTAACGCATGACCTTTGTTTTTGCAGATAATACCAGCAAGCTCCAAAGACACAGAGGTGTGTATTTCGTTTAAATTATTATGGGGGAGGGGTACCTCTGATCATTTCAAAATCCAAAATTCAATAATACTGTACTGACTACAAAATAATTAGTTACTATGGATAACCTGTTATAAAAACCACAGGAGCCAGACATTCTGTCAAATAAATAATGCAAAAAATACCTAGGCCTATAATTTGCTTAAAAAATATGATTTATTGAAGGTTGTTTTCAAAACATTGAATTTTATCATTGACCATTAAATTATGTTGTTAACGACGTCATCTGATTATTTAGGGAAACCTGCTCCTTTTTTGAGGCAACAAGTGAAACAAACTAGGAAATTACATTAGATAACAAATTGAAATCTACAAATCTAAAAGAAAAATACCGTAAATGTAGACAATAGAAAACTTTTAAGTGTATATATAGATGATATTAAAATTGATGAAATCATAATGCAAGTAAATTTTATTACAAAAGGTGTAGTTGTATATTTGTCACAAAATAACAATAGAGGATATCTGATTTCTGATAAGTAAAAAAATGTGATCTTCATCATTAAAACAAGCTTCAAATATTAATGTTAATTTTAAACAAGAAGAAAATAGGTATATAAAGAAGAGATTAAAGAAAATCAGTAAAAATTCTTGTCAGATCTCGCTTGTAGTTTGTTTATAACTTTAGTACCAGCTTATCCTGTCAATGTATTCCTAACCACTTTTGTTAATATAAATACCAGATGATGAAATTTGTAAAAACAGTCACAGTTGACTGCTTGTACAGGAAGAAAAAGGATAGGCTCAGGGCAAGCAGTTCTAGTTGGGTGATGCAATGCTTTTTTTGTTGTGTATAACACAGCCCATTCAGATATTGGGGGCCTACTCCGTGCTGATGCAATATTTGTGTCGGTTGATATACAGTATAGTATAGGTTAACAACCAGTTCATTTGTGCTAGGGTTGAGCAGGAGTGAGGATATGGATCTCTGTAGTAGTAGTAGCAGCAGCAGCAGCGTACATGTAGTGTAGTTATTCAGAAGCAGAGCAGTTGTTAACGTGAAGAGTCCAGATAAAATTATCTACGTTAACTGAGGAAAAGTATAAAAATGACGAAGTTAGAACATTTACTGGAAATACTGGGTTTGAACAATCCAGAGAAAATGGGATTATCAAAAGATATGAAGGTAAATTTTTAACACGGTGTAGTTTTAAATTTATTTATGAATTAAATGAATAAGTTGTAACATTTAAGAATTTCTTTTCCCGCTTTGAACATATTTGTCTGATTTGTGTTTCTTCAGACACAAGCCCTGTTTGTGGATGCTTTCCTACAAAATAATCGGCTAGACCATGTTGTTCAGCTTATGGGGTACCATCCACAATACTTAGAATGCTTTCTGAGGACCCAGCAGTATCTGATGAAAGGAGATGGGGCCCTACCATTCCATTATCGTCATTACATTGCTATCATGGTAAGTGTGGACAATTTAGAAAAACTTAATAGTAAGAGAAAATTGACAAAAACTCGGAAAAGGTTATGATCATTTACTGGTTGTTTTTTTTGTATCATTTTTTAAAATTGATTTATAATTTTTAAAATATTTATTGGTTTATTTGCTTACATGTTTACATACAAGGTAGATTGGTGGAACCCTCCTGATTTGTAATCCTTCAGAAAATACTTAACGATTCTTACTGTTGTGTAATCTTTGGGTGGCTGAAGTTTTTTTATTTTAATCAGGGCTATTTGTAATTTTCAGGCTGCCAGTCGCCATATGTGTACCTACCTGGTTCACCTCCATGAACAGGAGTTCATTCTGCAAGGTGGAGATCCTGAATGGTTGAAGGGAACAAGTCATGTTCCCAAAAAACTCAGGGATTTGAATGAACTCAACAAGTTACTGGCCCACCGCCCATGGCTAATATGCAAATCACATATTGAGGTAAGCACATTAGTCTAGAGATTTTGTTGTGAATGTTAAATTATGTTTCAGGTTGTCATTAAAATTACGAATCTCAATTTATTATAAGAAGGTTTTTAGCCTTGAAATACAGCACTTTGTGATGGTAACTTTGAGAAGTTATGATCATGTTAAGAAACCATACTCCATAACAATTTCGACAACTTAATTATAACCATATCTGATTTTTGTTTTATCTTTGAATTTCAGAAACTTGCAAGGTCAACAAACTCAAAAGACAACTGGTCGATCAGTGAATTGGTGCAAGCTTTGATTCTGATGGCACATTTCCATTCGCTTTGTTCTTTCGTTTACGGGTGTGGGATTAAATCAGAAATTGATCACAATGGAGGATTTACCTACAGACCTCAGTCCCCTGTAGAAAAAAATTCAAATGACTTTGATTCTTCCGATAGTTCTTCCACAAATGGGGATATTGTAAGTAACATTCTCATGATACAAATTCAGCATTCATGTCATTTTATCTTCAGTGAATGAGAAAGACGAATTTCCATTCTTTTAATTGAAATTGACAGAATTTGGCGAAGTATTAAGTAACTTTTGTTTAATGATAAATGTATAAAATTGTCATTTTGTGATGTAACAATTTTTAAACATTTTGATATTTGATTTTATTAGAATTCTGAACCTGAAGTAGGCATAGAACTACTCATGGAACGAATGAAGAAATTAGTGGAGGAGGGTGAAGAAGAAACAACGCAAGAGGAGCGAGTGAAGCGATTTGAGAAAGTGGAAAGCCAAAGTGTTGAAAGTAAGTACACATTTTGATTTGATGTCATGATTTCTGTGTGTATCACTAAAGTTGTGAGATAATTAAAAGTTGTTTATCAGTCATCATTGTAGAACCTTAGGCCAAGGTGATGGTTATATATTGCATGTTAAGGAACTACCCTATCAAAGTAGTGTGTAATCACGTCTGTATATTGATTAACTGATACAGATATATAGCCATACTACTTAACAGGTAATTGCTTTCTCAAGCTAATTATGGGATACTGTCATGCAATCTCCTCAGCATTTATATACAAACATGAATTTTTAGGTCACCTGAGCTTTAGCTCAAGTGACCTTTTGCTATCCGTTTTCGTCCGTCGTCGTCCGTCGTCCGTTAACATTTTACATTTTAAACTTAAAGTCAAGTTCTGCTGGGCCGATTGAACTGAAAGTTGGTAGGAATGATCGCCTCATGGTCCTGACAAAGTGTTGTTATTTTTCGGGTCAATCAGAAATACAATTTGGCTGCCATGGCCGCTATTTTGCTACTAAATTCTAATAGGCCGATCTCACTTAAAATTGGTCTAGGAATGATCAGCTCATGGTCCTGACAAAGTTAAGTTAACATTATACTATTTTTTACTCAAATTGGTACATATTTCAACAAAAAAAATAAATACTGTAGACTCAGGTGACCGTTAAGGCCCATGGGCCTCTTGTTGTGTAAGGTGGGGAAGAAATGACACGGGTGATACAAAGCTTTGATGTTAATTATAGATGATGTAGTAGTACTGTTAAGATGATGATCTCTGTTAAATACACTGCTGCACTTCTGAAATATTATAATCCAAGTTTATTTTGGTGTAAACTACCACATAAGAAACATCAAGACAGAAATGTTTTCCCTCTTGGGACTATTTAAAAATAAAATAATAAATTTGTTGTCTGGCTTTTCCCCCCGCAGTTGCTGCAAACACAGTTCGACCATCCCCGAAGGCAGAGGTCTTGAAATATGTAGATGATGCGGAATACTGTTATCAGGATTTTGCTAAACGGGACTCGGTTGAAGACATACCAACCTTTAGAGCAACAGATTACAGTTGGGAAGATCATGGGTTCTCATTATCAAACCGATTATATATGGATATTGGTAATCAATTAGAGGACAAATTCTCCGTAGCCACCAACATGACCTACTACACGTAAGTGTTTCTACTGCAATAATATTCATTGATCTCTTTTAAAAATTTGTGTGTGGAAAAATTCCACATATTGCATGAATGTTAAATTCAAATGAGAAGTAGAAATCTTTCTTAAAAGCTTCCTGAAATTTTAATCTACTTGGTTAACTTAAAGATGCAGTATATATATAGTCAAAACAAATTGGTCAAATCCAATGTCTATTTTGACTGAACTGTTGGTGTGTTTACAGAATGGGGGAGGTGCGTGACGTGGATACCACAGCATTCCGTCGAGCTATCTGGAGTTACATTCACTGTTTGTATGGCATCATGCATGACGATTACAACTATGGTCAAGTGAATCAGCTACTAGAAAGGAACCTCAAGGCATACATAAAGACAATGACGTGTTATCCAGAAAGACTGACTCGCAAAGACTACGACAATGTCATGAGGGAGTTTAAACATTCAGAAAAGGTAAGCATGACACTTTCCTTTGTTCACATGTTCATTAAGTTTATGACTGTCAGTTAAGTAAAATGCATACATAAATTTTTGTAGAATCTGAAAACTTACTATTTCATATTTGTGCAAGAAGCAGTTGAAAACAATACAACCACATATATATCTGCTTTTAATATCTAATATTGTAAAATTCAAGTGCATTATTTGATCATGATTTTGAGATGAAATAACAAAATATATCTTCACATCCTCATAGGTACACGTGAATCTGATGTTGCTGGAGGCACGGTTTCAAGCGGAACTTCTGTACGCATTGCGGGGTGTGATGCAGTTTATGACGTGATGTGATCAAGACATAATAACAAGACTTGGAATTGTTCTCCTGAAACACCATGGATGTGAATAGCTAGATAGATATATGCAGAGGGGCGTTCCTTCATTGAAGTTTCAAGTTGGAGATGGGCAACCAGCCTTTTCTGATTGGTCAGGAATTTGCAGAAAGCCTTTTCTGATTGGACAGGGACTGACAGTGGTGCATGCACTGCTGATGTGTTTGTGGGTAGTCATGGTGACGACTGGATGCATCAGTAGTACAATTTAATGTGTCTGTGATAATGTCTTTCATTTTAACTAAACCCATTGTGGTGAAAATATATGGACATCGGTCAAACTATTGAATATAAGTGGCATGAAAGTTAAGGGGGTGTATGAATATGTTGTAAATGTTTTTTTATGTTGTGTTAGAAAGTAGTCCATTGTTTTAAAAGCAGTAGATCAGATCTACTTGTGGTGAAGGAGGGAGAGAAAAAGCGAGTCAGAGAATAAGGATATACATAGTTTAATGAAGAGTTAATAAATGGAGCAAGAAAGAGGATACACGATAGTATCTGTAGTGAACAACTTCATAATGTATTCATATAAACATGTTGGATGTGCAATTTATGGAGTGCGGGAGATGCTATAAGCGTCTATTCGTGAAGGAGATTATAGGATGGTAAGGTACCCTTATCAGGACTTACACATGGTTGCACAAGTGGGGGGTGCTGGTGGGTAACACCTGTACAGTGTGTGACCAAAAGGATGTGAGCCAGTTCGGGCAAGAAGTCAAAACGTCTTTCAATAGGTGCTGCAGACCTAAGTAATATTGTAAACTGCTTAAAGCTATACTCATTTTATAATATATACCATACTTTCATAGTCTCCACAATGTCGTATTTTCTGTACAAAACACTGTTTATCCACACACTTGTAAAAACCAAAGTCTCATATACTGTTGACAGCATTACTAGTAACTTGTGTTACTGAAATGGTGCGAATTTGTTTGTTTCCAAACAATACATTCCACAGTGTTGTGAGAATTGTCATGCCTCATACAAACCCTATATCCTAGTCAATTTGACACTTCCTTTGTGTTTAGTATACATGTTTTCTCTTCTTGGTTTATAATTATGTCGCTTGTTTGCAAAATTTAGAAAAAATGTACCATAGCTATGTTGGGGAACAATATCTAAACTCTATTTTAGAACTTAATCGAAATTATTTAAAGTTAAATTCTTAATTAAGTAAAACCTGAGGGAACAAATGTACAAATATATGGTAGGGTGAAACCTCGTTGATTCAGCCATCACTAACTATAATATGGTTGTCTTATTCTCTGGTCAATGTTATGGGGACATATATTTCTCTTTCTCTAGTGTCCTAGTGATTAAGTCAATTCACCATCCTAACATTTAACTGGAAACACAAGTGTGTTTATTAATGAGGTAGACTGCAAAGGCAAACAAAATAATTCTTCGGTACACGTCTTTTATTTCAAAATCAAAATATTTATTTTTTTCCCAAAATTAGAGGTAAGTCAAAAATCATGATAGTGCTACAATCAAAAATCAAATTCACATTTCATTTGTATTTTAATTTGAAGTGCTGATACAAACAAATACGATACATATTTTCCAGGACAGTTCTTGAGATGCATTGATATTGTTATCACAGCTGCTGATAAGTGATATAGTTATTGATATAGGGCGACTCTTAGTGGGTATGTACATAGGCATACATATATTATACATGCACATAGGTCTTGTTTCACATACATACCAGTATGTAGTTAAATCTGTTATATATATAATACTTGGCTCGCCTTGTAACTTGTTAGTAATATTTATACAAATATAGTGTTGAAAACCTTCTCCAACTTACTAAACCTGATCAGGTATATTGAAACCCTAGATCAGGTAGGGTTGTTTTGACTTGCTAAACCTGATCAGGTATATTGAAACCCTTGATCAGGTAGGGTTGTTTTCACTTTATGTTGTTCCTCTATTAAGCCAGTAAATTAGGAAGTGTTCTTAGTTGAAGTTGTAATGAAAGTTTGGTTAGCATGACGAAACATTGCCAAATAATTGATTAAGCTAACCAGACCTACTACTACCCTACTCATCGTATACTGCTTTCATCATTTGCCATTTCTAATTCCTGTTTCCTTGTAACATTGTGTATGCGATGGACAATACAATATACAAAAGTAGTTCAAAAAGTGTCTATAAGGAAATCTTGACAATACCCATATTTGCAGTATGTGTGGTTTACAGAAGGTTGACCACGTTCATCCTGAAAAATTGCAATAGAAAACGGAACAATTTTCCGGTGAATATTTTTGTTTCATTGGTGCAGAATTTAGCTATTCCAAAAATATTTTCTGTTTACAAGTTTCTGTAGTATGTGCAGTAATTAACAAGGGCTTCTAGATCAATGTTTACATTTGTTGTACTTCTAGATCAATGTTTACATTTGTTGTACTTCTAGATCAATGTTTACATTTGTTGTACTAAAAGCTGTAAATCTTTTGCCATTCAGAAACAACTGTTATTGATGTTATATTTCCAGATGTATTTGACGATGAATTTTGACTTCTGTCACATTGATATTGATGACTTTGGGCCCTTCTTCAAGTGTAAACGTATTGTTTAATGATAAATACATATTGTCAAATAGTGTTGTTAAGGCTATATGCTACCTTACTGTGCCATTCTGCATTTACTCCTACCAAAAGAGTTCCTACTTATAAAGCAGTTTTTTGATGCATCATAATGAGACGTTTTAGTCCAAAGATGACTTATTGGAAAGGTACACAAAAGATATATACAATGCTAATTTACTTCGGGGATACCATGAATAAAGCAATAAAGCAATCATGCTATTTTTTGAAGGAAACAAATTTTAAAAATAAAAAAAAGAGTTGTGTGTATAGTAGCCCATAACCTTTAATAAGATCATGTATTACATCAGGAGTAGGGCACATTCTGTTTGGACTGGGAAGTATTACGTGATTTACATATTTTGCATGGATTTGAGATTATTTTCATTTGTAGATCAAACAAAAAATGTACAAAAATTGCTTGCCTTGTAGTACATGTGGCTTTTGTATTAAGAAAAATAAGGTGCACCATGCATATTGTAAATAATACAATATTATACATTATTAGATAATAACATTGACTATTACAATCCTAGCATCGAACAAATCATCTATTTATATAAACCAGTAAATGGCAATTCAGAAATGGCTAAAATGATTACAAATGCAGTTTTTATCGCAAATTAAATATTTTGAATACAAATTTTGTGCAATTATGAAATATGACATCTATTTTGATTATATATTGTATTTATGTATTGTGATTTGGGGCATTACTTCAACTTTAAAAGAATATGAAATTACTGAACTACTCCATATTGTATGTACTGTCTACTATAAATTTACCTTGACTCTTAAATACAGATACATATTTTTCAGGTTTCATAAACTTAAACTGATGAAGTGATAATGATTAACGGGAAATGAAAGTTTGAGAGGGAAAACATTCAAAATTAATGGATGAATACATTGTTTGACAATTGTGTTCCGTTTGAAAGTTGTGTTCACTACATTTGTGCTTTTGAGAATCTGCAGTGTACAAACTGTTGTACACGTTTGCAGACATTAAGAAATCCGACTTATAAAAATAGTGTCTAACACTTGAACAAACCAGTGCTTCACCAGGATCAAATCACTTTTGGTGAGCAACAAAATAATTTCGTCCTTTTGAAAAAAGAAAGTTTGTACTCTTTTTCATTTTTGCATTGATCTGCTCAGATCTTTTTTATACATGAAAGATAACCAAAATTGCAATTATGAGGAAAAGAAAAATATTGTTTATGACCAGGATGTTTGCAATAACAAAAGTGTTCATTTTTGTCACTGATCAAAACAAATCCAGGTTGTATCCAATGAAAATGTAGATGAAAACTTGTGCTATTTCAACACTTGTAGGCTTCCACTGGTAACACGGTTACAGTGTCCTCAGCATTGCTATGATTGGATGTTTGTAAGAGAAGTCTGTTTTGTTCAGTGATACAAAGGAGAAAACACTGTTATTCATTCCAAACCTGATCTCTAGACTTTTATAGAAATACTGGTGCCAGTATTTATAAAACTATTTAGACTGTCCTAGTCTAATATTGAAAATGAATCTGTATTATTTATTTGACTATTTAACCTTTCCTACGTTGTGATACTATGTTGCTAAATAAAGAAAAAGTTAATGAAAACTTGTTTTTTTGTTTCTTTACTTTAAATAGAACGTTCAAAGGAATTTTACAAGTTGGTTTTGTATGTTTGATTTCCAAAGTAGAAATGAATTATGGATCCATCAACTGCAACACAGCATTTAGCTTAGCTGCCGAAAGGGCCATGCCAGTTTTACTGCCGTCAAAACTCTCGACTCCTCATGAACGATCTAATCCTCATAAACGGCCGAGCAGACTTTAAACCAAATTTGGTTTAATGCATCATGGAGCTAATGGGACAAGATCATATATAAACTAAAGACGAACCCCCCACTTGGGACATAGAGAAAACAAGGACAAGAACCTCATTTGGAATTAACTATCACTATGAAGGAAGAATCAATGTTATTTAAACAAAGGGAACAAGAACACTGCTTCACTTGTGTGTGAAGGGACTTAAAACACAATTTGGTCTGAAGCATCCAGGGGACCCAATGTTGTAGTTGTGACCCCTTTGGAATGGATACAACTGTAAAAGACAAATCCAGTACAAGTAAAGGGACTTTAACCAAAATGAGTCTGAAGCATCATTGGAACAAGGTAATCGCGCGCAATCTATAATAGTCTAGCCTCCGAACACAATTCAAAATAGAAAATAGGACACGGAACCCGATTTCAGTGGGTATCTCTCCGTCCTACAGAGATGTACTCTCATACAGAATGTGGTGATTGTAACGGACAGATTATAGGAGCCATGTCTCGGACAGAGTGGTTCAGATCAAGTGAACAAAGAGCCATTACTCTGGAGTAAAAAGGGTATTAACTCTGTTTATATGGTGGGTCACGAAACCAGATTTTAGACTGCGACTATGGCATGCCAAGTTGTCATTTATTCATGGAGCAATGTTGATCCAGTACTTAAACAAAATATATAAGATATCTTATATACTTTATAAGATATCTAAGATAATAAATGAAATATTTTATATACTTAATAAGATATCTTGTATACTTTTCTTTATAAGATATCTTATATATTATTATATAAAATATCTTATATCTTTTATAAGATATCTTATAAACAAAACTAAATGAGATATTTTATATAATTAGCTTATAAGATATCTTAAAAAGAACGAGATTTGAATTTGATAATAAACCCTCCCCAACAGCGCTCGGACCCTATCGATAACCGAGGGGGTTCGAGAGGATTTGATCGAAAACAATGGAACCAGTTACCAAATTGAAACTACATATAATTATGGCAAGCCAAGTTGTCATTTAGTCGTTGAGCAATGTTGATCCAGTACTTAAACAAATTATCGCCAACGAGAACGGATGTGACCTTACAACGGGAGCAGTCATTTTCAAACATTTCTTTTTGTCGGTCTCGCGAGAGTCTCGTTCTTTACAAGATATCTCATAAACTTTTCTTTATAAGATATCTGATATGTTATATAAGATATCTTATATATTATGTAAGATATCTGATATCTTTTATTAGATATCTTATATAATATATAAGATATCTTATAAAGAAAATTAATTGAGATATCTTATAAAAGATATGATATCTTGTGTATTATATAAGATATCTCATAAACTTTAAATAAGGTATCTTATATGTTTATAAGATATCTTATATAATTTGGTTAAGTTCTTGATCAACATTGCTCCATGAATAAATGACAACTTGGCTTGCCATATGCGACGCTTTGGTATCTGGCAACTGTAAGTGATGGCGGGTATTGAGGATACATAGTATATACCTTGGACATGTGACGCACAGATTGGTTTGTTCCGTGTTGGTGCTTTACGTCCCATTAACAGCTATGATCATTTCAGGACGTACCAAATATGGATGGCGGAGGAAAACCAGAGAATGAGAGAAATACCACAAATCTGCGGTCAGTACCTGGCGGCTGCCCCGCGTAGGCCTCAAACACGTGACCCAATGGTATTGGATGATGATCATAATTATCACTCGGGCCCCGAAACCCTCCCGACCAACAGTACTGATGGGGCTATGATTTCCACAACTTAAGTAGTCAGTTTATTTTCAAAAACGAGTGCAAACTGGTACCGCTTTGGTATTGTTGTCTTATATTGGTACATCATTGTAATGTGGACGTAGCAGATTAGACTAGTTCATGTACAGGGTAGTTGGATTAAGAAATTCCAGCCAGGGGTTTTCAAATTGGGTAAAAACCCGGGCCTCTGTGTCGACAAATTTCACACAAGAGAATTTCAATTTGCATAAAATTTGATTCTGTAGAGGGTTTTGCATCGATCCCGAGGATGCAATTTCCCTATCTAGCATCCATTGGCATGAAAGAGTATTTTTGTCCAGTTGTGAAGTCACGCACGTGAAATTGGATGCAAGGTATCCTACTGTTCTGTTATATACTCACAGGAATTAGAGAAGAGCTACTTATCACGGTGATGTGCCATACAGCAACAGTTTGGTTACGGAAATATACAGTGACAGCAAAATGCATTGGGAAGAATAATTCCGAAAAAACGGTCGCTATTGCTGCATCGCTCTATTTTCGAGGTTATAATAGATACTGGTTATCGGAGTAGTGACACACACGAATGACGTGTTTTCATCATTTATTTACAGATTGTGCATGTCACAAAATATACATACTGACTTTAAAACTGATGAGTTTGGCGTTTTACAGGGTGAAGACCAGAGATTTACCGTAACAGTAGCCGACAAACCATTGTCCAGGAATAACAGGTATAGGGTGGAGACAGTCACTTTTAAATATGATACAATGTATACGATAGCCTTTTTAGTTTCCCTTCCATTCACTTAATCTTACCCCCCAGACTCGTAGATCTATCATAATGGGATTCGCTTAACACGCGGTTTTAATGTTTACCTTCGGAATTGCGGAAACCTTTTCTGAGACCACTGACCTATAAAACTTATTTCATTTTGTAAATTAGGTCCTAGACGATTATGCTTATAATGTTCTCGGACATTGTCCTTTAGACCGCCATACTTTGGCCCCTGGTGTAAAGAAATCGAGCTCAAGGCTGTATTGAACGCATTTACGCCACACAGTGTTAGCGGTGTCGTTTTATATGGCAGTCCTTGGTGATTTTTTCCGACTTTGATATGGAGTATAAACCATATATCATAATTTATAAATTCAAAATTGACAAAGGAAAGTGCCCAACAGCAACAAAGAAGATATCAAAATATTGAAAGCAATACGTAACCTACAATATACGAACTTTATGTAGCACCCTTTATAATTGATGAAATCACTGTAAGGCGCTTAACAGTACAACAATCAGTTATAATTTTCATATAAATTATTCTTCATGCTTATACATCGTTTGCAGACAGTCATCTTTTTACCTGATCAATTCAAAACGCTGATTCATATGTTCATATTATCTTTTATCTTCTATATTTATAACTGTCACTGTAGGAATAATATTATCCATGTGCTGTAAGGCGTCTTAAGAGTAGTTTTTGCAAATTATATAGGGCGCTATTTAAATGTTGTGTATTATAAAGGGCGCTGTACAAATGTTGTATATTATAAAGGGCGCTATACAAATGTTGTATATTATAAAGGGCGCCGCTATACAAATGGTGTATATTATAAAGGGCGCTATACAAATGTTGTACATTATAAAGGGCGCTATACAAATGGTGTATATTATAAAGGGCGCTATACAAATGTTGTATATTATAAAGGGCGCCGCTATACAAATGGTGTATATTATAAAGGGCGCTATACAAATGGTGTACATTTTAATGTTGCCGTAGTACCACAGTACATGTGTACCCTTCGGTATACCGAGTCGCGTTAGGTTCCTCGTGACCTGATTCTAATTCTACAGACATAATCTCTGACCGGTAAAGGGTCGTATTTAGAAGTTCATATAGCGTGACCAAACTGACTCAACCAGACGTAGTGGTTAAGTAACGAATACACTGTCTAAGTTGGTTTCGATACTGATCAAGTGTGGTACCATATCATATCGTCTTGAAAATTAAGCTTAATTGAGATTAATGGCTCATCCCAAACCTTCGCTTATTAAGCATAAACCCCACATGCGATTTGATATTATAATACACTATACGCATATAAGAATGATTTCTGTGATTTCACAATGCATCTACTTTACATCATCAGTGAGACCGTATTACCTCAATAGTTACCTCAGATTATATTATTTTATCATTTGTCAATGACACTGCAAGAGTCAATGACTTGAACACTACTCTGTAGCTCTTCAATGTGTTTGTGCTGCTTAGGTGAAGTATAGTTCTATCAACATTAATTTCGCCGTTCTTTAATTAGCATGTACTTTTGTCATTTCTACTAACGGGCAATCGATGTTTTTGTCCCCTCAAAAACACCAGAACATTAGTTAAACGATAAACTAAATACTTACTTCAATGCTATAGATAGCTACGAGTACCTTGCGTTCTTCAGATTCTTTTAATTTCTATTTGATCTAATGAATATCTTCAAGTTTTCTTTGGATTATAAAATTACTAAAATAAAGTTTGAATATGAACAGAAGCCTTACAATATGTAGTTGGAGTTCGTCGTGATCACAATAAGCCCACGTGGAGCATGCGCAGGTTTGTGGGAGAATCAACCTCTAATGTTCCCGCACTTTATACCGATCAGACGGACCGTCATTCCTTGTACAAAGATAAGGCTGAATCAGCAGGGGCGTTTCTAGGATATTTGAAAGAGGGGGCGTAGAATAAAATCTTTCGCCGAGCGGAGCGATGAGGAAAAAAAATTGGACCTTTTGTTTTGGTAAAAAACATAAAATAATTGTGAAATGCACTAATGTAATGGTTCCTGACTTGGAGCATGTAATTTTATAGTTTATATGGTACGCCCATTACGCCCTCACCTGGACCCGCCCCTGATCAGAGACATATAAAGCCATGTATAGTATATACGTCTCTGGCTGAAGGTCATGTCTATAAAACATTTTAGTTTTTCATCCATATTGTACAAAACTCGGTGTATGCCAACGCAGCGTTCCAATTTTTA